AATAAGCAGCTGATCATACAAACAGATGTGAAAAATTGATTCAGTAATGGAATCCTCATTTGTACCAATAATATTCTCTTTCATTTTGTTACAGATTTGTGTCTTGAGTTTCTTTCTCTTTCTGTCTCTGCACTTTACTGCTGTGTATGTTTGTCGTGTGTTTAATTAAGAGGAGTATTCTTTAAAAGTCTGTGCGAGTCCTTCCTGCCCTGTGATTCATGTTTATATTCACATTTATGTATTATTAAGTGTAAACTAAAAGTTAACTAAACTATTCAGAATATGTCAATGGCAAAGTAATGAAGGAACTCCTAACTTGATGTTTAAACATTTTGGTTTGATATGTGATACTGAGTGTTGATAAAAGTCAGAGATTTTAATTTTGGATTTCTTATGACTTGATAGTTATACATCAGAAATATACAAATGTATCGTAAAGAGAGGTCATTAACGGCTTTAAGTGTGTGAAGGCTGAAGGGCTTTGAAAATGTTCTAAATCCATTGAATAAATTAGTGCAAAGTAATACAAATATCATGGTGTACTCTTAAAGAGGACATAAGAGAGGCATGACTAGTAAGCTTCAACATTAACATCTAAGATTCTAAGAAAAGTGCTTGTCTAATGCATTACATAGAGAAACATGACTGAAGATGATCACAAACTTGAGCATTTATGACCCCCGACCTCCCCCGGGGGGGGGAACATTTAATAATAATGTCTTTCATCTGAGCAGCGTGCAAAGAGGGAATCAGCAACGGGCCGACATGGAAAATAGAGCAGAGCAGCTGACACTCACGTTCTGGTAGGGGCCGACCAGGAAGCGGTGATGAACGTATCTCTCCACCAGACTCGTCTTCCCCACACTCTCCTTTCCCAGCATCACCACTTTAGCATCCACACGCATTGCACTCATAGTAACTGGGACAGGAAATGCACAGGACGGGGTCAACAGAAGAACAAAAAAGAGGGGGAGGGGGAGTTAATGAAAATGTGCTGTGTGGCAAAAAGACAGCAAATGAACTACAATACTAACGATGGCATGAATACTATTTCAACTGAGAATTACAAAACACTCCTTAAAAATGTTTTGCCATCTGTATTATCTATTGTGTTTGAATATGAAGGATTTATTGTCACACTTAAGAGGACAAGAGGCAACTGAACTACACAACTTGAACATTGTTTTATAGATTTCATTCTTATGGAATCAAACTATCATGAACACAATCGAGCCTCTCCTCTTAACTGTGAGTTAGGACTGACACAGAGGAATATGTCAACAACAAACAGGCCAGCTGAGATGTTAAACACAGAGACTGAAAAAGTACAAAGAATGCATACTTTAAAAGTAGCAGCAATACCTCTGAGAATAAATACTGAGCTGGACTGCACATGGACTGTGAACACTGTAATATTTTCATGAACCCACTCAGGGACTTGGATTTCACTTTGTGATTTTGAATGTAACTTGTGCTGTTTTTATGTTCTGTCTTCTACATGTGAGCTGATTGTGATGTGAGGATTTCTGAGCTTTCACTGAAAGACAAATTTCCATTCAAATGAATCTTATCTTACTGTAACAGAAGTAAAGGTCACGTATTGTGTTTGTCCTATTACCTTTGTGCACCTCATATGTTAAGGAATTAAAATAATATATCTGCAAAGTAGCTTGTAAGTTTCATTTCATTTTTTTTTTGTTTTTTTGTATTTGTTCTGTACATCAAAAGACACAACAAAAAAGGAAAAGGAAAAAAACAATTCACACTTTATCCCATGTACAGAAAGGAGCAGGGAGAAGAAGAATTCTTGTTTTGCCTGCCCCCCCTTACTCAAAAAGCAAACAATAAACATCTGGATGGTCTGTCCAATTACAGTCAATGAATGAATATCATGCCAACATAAAACAAATCTGACAATTCAGTCTTTACTTCCTCAGAAAGTAGAAGGAAAACACACACAAAACAAACTAACTGCCACTTTCATACCGTCTGATAACTTTGTTCTTGTACATTTTCTTAAACTGAAATATCTGAACACAGCCCTTCAAGTCATTATCTAAAGAATTCCACAATTTAATTCCAATGATAGAAACACACCTCTGTTTTAAAGTTGTCAACGCAAACTGATGCTTAAAATGAAATGTCTATTTTCAGCTACCTATTGTAAGAAGAACTATAATTCATTACAATGATTTATTCTGTGATCTAGCTCAATAGGCAAAGTTACCGTTACCTAATGATCTAATACATTTAGTTAGGTTAATGTTATAATAGTTGGATCTGAGTTGTCAGTTTGATTTTAATTGTAAACAAGTCTAACACTGTATTGGAAAACAAGAACATCAGAACTCAAGTATAAAGTGTTGTAACATAAATAATAAATACATGAATATGACAAAAAAGGTAAACAATATTTAAGATGTGGCTGACAAAGCACTTAATAATAATAATAATAATAATAATAATGAAACCTTTTCGAGGGGGAAATAGTCACAAAGCTGTAAATGACAAAAACAAAGTCAGCACAAAAACTAACGATTGAATTGAATTAAAAGAAACATGTTGTTGTTGTTGTTTGTTGTTATTCACTTTATAATCTGGTTTTGCGCTAAATATGAAAGCGAAACTGAAAACGTTACATGTTATGTTCGTACTGTACCGTACTGTACTTTAAATGAAAACAAAATGTTGTTTAAATCGCATGTAAGGTACAAACATGTCATCACTGTTAGCCTCACGTTAGCTCACCTAGCTCACTTCAGCACAACCACAGAAACAGACAGAAACAAAACTCACCTGCTGGCTGACTCAACGAGTCTTTGTAAACATCTGATCCACACGAAGCAGGGGCCAAAGCCGAGGCTGTCAACCCGGTTTTCAAGTACAGACGGTAGCAGTCAAATCGCTTGTCATCTCTGCTCAGCCTCAGCTCAGCTCCAGCTGCAGCGGGGACTGTCTGCCGCTGTGGCGCAACAACCCAGATAACGTCAATAACGTACAACAAAAAGCGTCATAAAAGCCTTGTGGCAGTCACTTATGTTTGTCTTAAAAAAAGATTCAACACAGACGGAGGTCAGCCGACTGAAGAGAGGACTCTCAAAACGTTTCTGAGGGGAAGAAATCTTCATCTGAGCTTTGTTTGTTTGGGTTGGAACTAAAATCATAACAGAGTCTGTTTCCAGGAACCGGAAGTGCCCAAATGACATGACACAATTTCGGATGTTGTTTTTTGTTGCTGTTGTTTTTTTGTTAAGATTATTTTATCAATTTTCACTGACAAAAACATGTACATCTTATACATTTACATGCACGCATAGATTTGTTTAATATTTTATAAAAGTATTTATTTTTTAATATATATATTCAGGTCTAATTACAGATTTGTTTATAGGTTTATAGGTTCTTGTTTAAATGTCACATATATTTTTATCCACAAGATATTTTTTTGTTTATTAAAAGGTTTACTCAAACTGTATATTCTTCAGTATACTTATTTATTACCTAAATGTATTGATCTGATTTTTAAACATTGCTGTACATATATAAACAACACAACTTCAGAAGGTCAACACATATACAAAAAATGTTTATACAAACTCTTAAAGAGGATGAATATACAACAGCAAAAAAACACAGGAACAAGTTAATTCAAACATAAATCAAGACTAGGGGGGGTTATATATAAAAATAAATAAATAAAAATCAAACTTTTCCAAAAGAAAACATCAGGCAAATGTACGCAGACAACAAACTGGAGCAAGGACAAAAAAAAAAATCAACAAGGGCAAGAATTTCGATAAGTCAGCACTAATCTTTCTAGCGATCCTGCTAGATTTAGTTTTTATCAGAGATAAGAAAAAATATTTGAAATCATTTATAAACCAGTCAAAGGAGGGTTTGCTGTTTCTCCACTTACTACAGTGAATATTATGGAAGCCCATTTCTGCCAGTTAAAAAAATAAAAATGAAAAAATGAAACTTGGCTTTGTTGAGATTTGAAATTATGAGATAATGAAGTCATAATAATGAGATAAAAAGTCAAAATAATTAGATAAAAGTCCTAATTATGAGATAAAAAGTCATAATTATGAGATAAAAGGGACAACATCTACTACCGTGAAGCCTACACAATAACTGTGTGGTACATTGACAGTTAAACGGTCAATGCTACTTAAACAGTAATGTAATGTGTTTAGTTTTAACGACAACCAGATTAAAAGAAAAACTATTTATCATGCATCTAACGTTTATTACATTTGGCAGAATTAGGATTGCTTGAATTGCCTTGTTTAGGATTGCATGTTTGTTTTATGTTGTTGACTTTTTATCTCATCATTTTGACTTTTTATCGCATAATTATTATTTTTTATCTCATAATTTTGACTTATCTCATAATTATGACTTTATATCTCATAATTATGACTTTATATCTCATAATTATGACCTTTTATCTCATAATTTTGACTTTTTATCTCATAATTATGACTTTATATCTCATAATTATGACTTTATATCTCATAATTATTACTTCATTTTTTTCAAGTTTTCATTTTTAGTTTATTAACTGGCGGAAATGGGCTTCTATAATAAATGATATTTACTTGTGAGTAAAATAACATTTACCGTGTCAGGTACGATATGTTCTGAGCATAGGTTCTGAGATATCGTCACTTTTTTTTTTTTTTTGGCACGCAGCTACACAGAACCTGATTGGTCGATGCCCCTGAGAGGCTGGTGTTGTGATTGGTTCCTGTTTCATGAGCTCCACCAGTCCCACCTAACACACACACACACACACACACGAGCGGTGAGAGAGAGCGAATCCAACATGGCTGAAGCGGAGGAAAGCGAGCTAACTTCTGGAGGAATTTTCCAGGAGATTTTCACGTCTCCTCTGAACCTGACGCTGCTGAGCCTCTGCTTGTTCCTCCTCTACAAAATCTTCCGCGGGGACAAACAGCCGGACCTCGGCGAGGTGGAGCCACAGCTGCCCAAACTGAAAAAGAGAGATTTTACCCTCGCAGATTTGAGTCCCTACGATGGACTGCAAGATCCGAGGATCCTCATGGGTGTCAACGGGAAAGTGTTCGACGTGACCCGGGGAAAGAAGTTCTACGGACCAGGTACGTGAACGTTACAGAAACTGACCCCCCCCCCAATGACGCTGGTACGACCTGTTCCGACGTCATTAAGGGCTGCTAGCGTGAAGCAGCCATTCGTGTCAAACATTTACTATCTCTGTTATCATTAAATTAACATTATTAACAAATAGAAGTCGGAATTTGGCAGTTTTTTTAGTTTAGCTGTAACTGGAAGCTTACGCCACACCCCCTCAAGTTTGCAAAGATCCCGTTTCACAACAGAGCAGCGACTGTAGCCTTGACGTCAGAGATCGTGTATATTGGAAGATGACTTACTCCGTAGTAGATACAAACAATGTGTTTTATTGGCATACAATTTTGTCAAGCATTACGCTAATATCTGGTTTAGTTAAGCAAAAGTTAAACCAATTCAAAACGTGTAAATCATAAAATTAAAGGAAAAATCTGAGAAAACAAGAAGCCTTTGTTAATGTAGGTAAAGATACTTCTACATGTAGGCAAAGGCTGTTTAAAGTTGGTGTTTGTATGTCTGTTTGAGTGCATTAGCTTATGTCAATGTTGTTTTATGTGTTTGTTTGTGTTAGTGTTTCAAGTGTCATGTCTTTTCTTCTTACTAATTAGGAGAAAAGACCAAATGCAAGATACAAGCAGCAAAGGTCTTTTCTCCTAATTAGTAGGAGAGTTTTTCTCTTAAGTCTGTTTGTTTTTAAAGTAAATAACTCTGATGCAGTCATGTTTTTATGACTGTGCAATGAAAGGCAGCCTGACCCTGGAGGACATTTTACAGTTAAGTTTTGCATAAAGAGATGAGAACACATCCAGTAAGATGTATGGAAATATTTATAACACAATAGTAAAGATTAAAAAAAAAAAAAAAAAATGCTGTCAGCAGGTTATTCAAAAAGAGAAGGAGCTGAATCTATAAAACAAAATGGTTTACTTTAATATCTGTTTAATGAAGTTAAAACTCTGAAATAAGAATCTGCCTTGTCACGCTACATAGTGATTCCTGGAATTAGATGCCGTGTGAGACCTCGTGTTTTTTTTAACATATCTCAGACGGTTACCTCTGTTGCCTGTAACCTCTGACCAACATGATAACTCACTGTCATGCAAACGTTTTTCACTGTACTGCTGCACACTCACACTGCACAAATAAATGTATCAGATGAGAATTTGCTGTCTACCAGCTACCTGCCGTATTGTGAACTGAATGGTGAATAATTTGTTGTTAATACAAATTAAAAACACCCTTAAATAATCACTATTAATTTTTTAAAGCTCTTAACCATTTGGAGAAAACCAAGCTGTGTCTGTTGCAGCATGCAAACAAAACTAAAAGTATAAGTTTCAGTTAAATACATGTCGTACAATAGCGGATTTATATTTCCTGTGAAGTATAAAATGAGCAGGGATGTTGGTCGTTTCTTGCTTCCTGAATGGGGAATAGAGGCTCTCTGTGCCCAGCTTCACATCAGGCTACTAGAGAGAACCTCCCGTGTAAAAGAGAAGTCCATCTTCAGTAGTTTGTTTGCGTTACTGTTGCTGGTGTTGTGTTGCTTGCATGTAACAGAGTGTTCTCTTTGTGTCTCGACTTTATTGCAGAGGGGCCGTACGGAGTGTTTGCAGGCAAAGACGCGTCCAGAGGTTTGGCCACGTTCTGCCTGGATAAGGAGGCTCTGAAGAACGAACATGACGACCTGTCCGACCTGAACGCCATGCAGCAGGAGAGCCTGTCTGAGTGGGAGTCTCAGTTCACCTGTGAGTGTGTGAATCAAGTTGTACCGCTCTAATTATTCTCACAGTCTTGTGGATGAAATGTCTCTGGAATATATTTGAAGGGAATGTCTACAAAAAGTCCACTAGGTCTCATGGATGCGAGGTTATCGTCGTTATTGTTTAAGTTGAAATACTCAGCAGCAGATGGATTCATCTTTACCTGGGTGAAAGTTGAGTCTCTGCCTCTGGGTGTTAAATTACAGTTTCTTATCTTACTGTTTTTATGTAGTTAGTTTGGATTCCGGATGTTCTTGTTGGCCTCTCTGTCCCATCACGAGAACCCCCCTGTCCCGTTTGGATCCAACTGCTGCTTAGCAAAGTAACATGACATGCTTGAAAGTACTCGCGCTGGTTCAGCCAGCAGGGGTGTATCCAGACTGTTTTGATTTGGGTGGCCCAGCTGTTTTCAGGCTTGAATTTATTTATTTTTCTCCTCTGTTGCAGTTAAGTACGACTATGTGGGCAAGCTCCTGAAGCCGGGCGAGGAGCCCACGGAGTACACCGACGACGAGGAAGGAAAGGACAAAAAGACAGACTAGAAGCTGAAACGTGACCAAGAAGGAAACACAGATAGATGCCTTAATGTTTCTGTGAAGTTTCGATGCCTCCCGTTAAAACCATTTCAAACATTCTCATATTTTTGGACCATCATGATACTGGATTTTACAAGCTGACTGAATTGATTAATGTAAATTTAAAGGGCAATAACAATGATATAAATATACACCACATACTGATGTAGAGGCGTATAGTGCTGTTAGAGTTTAAATCCTGTCAACTTGATCCTCAGATTGACTTGTTAACGGACCAATTCCAGCATATAAGGAAGTGACCGATGGTCGAACGCGCTATCAGGAGAACTGTTTTTAATATCCGCAGCTCTGTTGTAAACTTTGTTCATATCACTGAAGTTCGTATTGCAGGTTGTACACATTCCTTCACAAGGGTCGGCTCAGCTCACAATGAAATGAATCATCTCAGGAAGTAGTGTGGTTTAAAGTGAAAAAATAAAATAACGGACTGGAGCCAGAGGACGGATTCAAATAGAAATAAAAATGCTGTATTTTTTTTTTTCCAACCTTGGTGTAACTATCAAAACTCACCCTGTGCTGATCACAGGTCTCGCTAACTGTGCACTAGCTATCTCTATTATTAGAATCAGGGACTTTTTTTTGTCTCTTATGATTTTATTCAACATATCAAATTAAGTATATTACAAAAATACAAAAATAAATGAGGCATAAAGCATGCAGAAAGATTCATAGTTGATTGAAGGAAACAACAAGGGACAAAGAAGAAAGGAGGCAGCTTCTATAAAAAAAAAAACAACCACCAAGGCACCCCGTGTAGGACACTAAATTAAAGTCAATAACACCAGTACTCTAAGTTAGAGCAAGAAGCATGGGCCTGTTTCACTATTTAGTACAAACGTACATTTACCATGAATCATTAGAAACCTTCGTCTGTGAGAGCCAGCTCACTTAACTGTCCAAAACAAAACGTTCTCAAAAAATTCTTTCACTTTCTGTCGGACTCTCAGATCAGCCTTTGTGCCGATCCCCTCAAGTCCTTTACAGTCGTATCCCTTTTTGTATGTAGAGCACACGTGTTATGATGTAGTGCAAAAATGATATTGTACAATGAAATAGGAGCAGGTGCTGCACATACAGTCGACACTAAAGTATCCCTCACACCTTTATGGCGCTGATATTCAATTTGTGTCCACCAAAACACTAAAAACAATAACACCGCAAGTGGCTCTGAGCCTCTACAATGAAAACAGCAAGAGTTATAATGACCAACCCTCAGGACAGAAATAATGATTATAATAAACTCCAGTCTAACAGTTGAAACAGCTGCAGCACCGCTTACTGAACAGAGAGCAGATGAGCTGATGTAAAAAAATCTTCAGAGTTGAACACTGTCTGCTCACACACATGAACAGATCTGTACAGAACATTTCTACGAGTCAAATCCCTCTGACTTCACTCACCTTTGTTTAACGTTTTTCTGCTCTTAATACAGTAAGATGAAGATGACATACAGATGTTTGTATCATTTAACACCATCCACTGTATCTGCTTATCTCAGCCTCCCGTCCAATAACACACTTGATGTTTTTAATTAACAGGTTTTATTCAGTTTTATCTGAAACTTTTACGACGAAATGACAATCGATGTTATTGTACCAAGAGGCCCACAGTGGTGAGGTCGTGTGATGTCAAGTATCAGACATTTGACAGTAACTTTTTAATCAGTGAACTATTAAAAAAAGTCAAAATATATATAACCAGTGTTGAGTTTTAGTGTCTCACATGAGAATGTTTTGCTGCTCTTCTTTTCTCAATAGAAGCTGAATTACTTCAGATTTGGGGCTGTAGGTCAGGAGAGTCATGTGTAATGATTTTTATCCAGGGGAAAAAAAGAAAATGACAGAATACAAGGCTCCTTATTCATGTACAGCGATGTGTCCCACTGCTGTAGTTCATTAGACAGTGAGTAGAGGAGATGTCACAAAGTTCATAGTTCAAAGATAAAGTGTTGAATGAAAGACTAGAGAGTCTGAACTGAAGCCAGTTAATGTTATTTTACAGTTTCTTCATTTCTGTTATTCACATTTTCAGCACTAAATCATCAATTTAAACACTTACTGAAAGTTCAGAGCTTCTCTCAGAGGACTCTGAAGCACAGAACGTGTCGAGGTTCAGAGGTTTAAAAGGTTTTTACCACACAGTTTGATTTAACCCTGAACATGAGGGCATTCAGTCGAACATTAGTTAGATAATAACACACGTTTAAATGCCCCCTCCAAGCGTTAATCTGCAATATTTAACGGTCTAAGACTACAAATGAAAAGACCTTGACATTCACAATTGTGTTTATAAAATTCTGCAGAAACTGTTTTGTTCATGTTCACTTTGAACTTTGACGTTAAGTGGAAGAAGTTTCTATTTTTCTGACCCCCCTTACTCAAAAAGCAAACAATAAACATCTGGATGGTCTGTCCAATTACAGTCAATGAATGAATATCATGCCAACAGAAAACAAATCTGACAATTCAGTCTTTACTTCCTCAGAAAGTAGAAGGAAAACACACACAAAACAAACTAACTGCCACTTTCATACCGTCTGATAACTTTGTTCTTGTACATTTTCTGAAACTGAAATATCTGAACACAGCCCTTCAAGTCATTATCTAAAGAATTCCACAATTTAATTCCAATGATAGAAACACACCTCTGTTTTAAAGTTGTCAACGCAAACTGATGCTTAAAATGAAATGTCTATTTTCATCTACCTATTGTAAGATGAACTATAATTCATTATAATGATTTATTCTGTGATCTAGCTCAATAGGCAAAGTTACCGTTACCTAATGATCTAATACATTTAGTTAGGTTAATGTTATAATAGTTGGATCTGAGTTGTCAGTTTGATTTTAATTGTAAACAAGTCTAACACTGTATTGGAAAACAAGAACATCAGAACTAAAGTATAAAGTGTTGTAACATAAATAATAAATACATGAATATGACAAAAAGGTAAACAATATTTAAGATGTGGCTGACAAAGCACTTAATAATAATAATAATAATAATAATAATAATGAAACCTTTTCGAGGGGGAAATAGTCACAAAGCTGTAAATGACAAAAACAAAGTCAGCACAAAAACTAACGATTGAATTGAATTAAAAGAAACATGTTGTTGTTGTTGTTGTTATTCACTTTATAATCTGGTTTTGCGCTAAATATGAAAGCGAAACTGAAAACGTTACATGTTATGTTCGTACTGTACCGTACTGTACTTTAAATGAAAACAAAATGTTGTTTAAATCGCATGTAAGGTACAAACATGTCATCACTGTTAGCCTCACGTTAGCTCACCTAGCTCACTTCAGCACAACCATAGAAACAGACAGAAACAAAACTCACCTGCTGGCTGACTCAACGAGTCTTTGTAAACATCTGATCCACACGAAGCAGGGGCCAAAGCCGAGGCTGTCAACCCGGTTTTCAAGTACAGACGGTAGCAGTCAAATCGCTTGTCATCTCTGCTCAGCCTCAGCTCAGCTCCAGCTGCAGCGGGGACTGTCTGCCGCTGTGGCGCAACAACCCAGATAACGTCAATAACGTACAACAAAAAGCGTCATAAAAGCCTTGTGGCAGTCACTTATGTTTGTCTTAAAAAAAGATTCAACGCAGACGGAGGTCAGCCGACTGAAGAGAGGACTCTCAAAACGTTTCTGAGGGGAAGAAATCTTCATCTGAGCTTTGTTTGTTTGGGTTGGAACTAAAATCATAACAGAGTCTGTTTCCAGGAACCGGAAGTGCCCAAATGACATGACACAATTTCGGATGTTGTTTTTTGTTGCTGTTGTTTTTTTGTTAAGATTATTTTATCAATTTTCAATGACAAAAACATGTACATCTTATACATTCACATGCACGCATAGATTTGTTTAATATTTTATAAAAGTATTTATTTTTATATATATTCAGGTCTAATTACAGATTTGTTTATAGGTTTATAGGTTCTTGTTTAAATGTCACATATATTTTTATCCACAAGATATTTTTTTGTTTATTAAAAGGTTTACTCAAACTGTATATTCTTCAGTATACTTATTTATTACCTAAATGTATTGATCTGATGTTTAAACATTGCTGTACATATATAAACAACACAACTTCAGAAGGTCAACACATATACAAAAAATGTTTATACAAACTCTTAAAGAGGATGAATATACAACAGCAAAAAAACACAGGAACAAGTTAATTCAAACATAAATCAAGACTAGGGGGGGTTATATATAAAAATAAATAAATAAAAATCAAACTTTTCCAAAAGAAAACATCAAGCAAATGTACGCAGACAACAAACTGGAGCAAGGACAAAAAAAAAAATCAACAAGGGCAAGAATTTCGATAAGTCAGCACTAATCTTTCTAGCAATCCTGCTAGATTTAGTTTTTATCAGAGATAAGAAAAAATATTTGAAATCATTTATAAACCAGTCAAAGGAGGGTTTGCTGTTTCTCCACTTACTACAGTGAATATTATGGAAGCCCATTTCCACCAGTTAAAAAAATAAAAATGAAAACTTGGCTTTGTTGAGATTTGAAATTATGAGATAATGAAGTCATAATAATGAGATAAAAAGTAAAAATAATTAGATAAAAAGTCATAATTATGAGATAAAAAGTCATAATTATGAGATAAAAAGTCAGGGACAACATCTACTACCGTGAAGCCTACACAATAACTGTGTGGTACATTGACAGTTAAACGGTCAATGCTACTTAAACAGTAATGTAATGTGTTTAGTTTTAACGACAACCAGATTAAAAGAAAAACTATTTATCATGCATCTAACGTTTATTACATTTGGCAGAATTAGGATTGCTTGAATTGCCTTGTTTAGGATTGCATGTTTGTTTTATGTTGTTGACTTTTTATCTCATCATTTTGACTTTTTATCGCATAATTATTATTTTTTATCTCATAATTATGACTTTATATCTCATAATTATGACTTTATATCTCATAATGACTTTATATCTCATAATTATGACTTTATATCTCATAATTATGACCTTTTATCTCATAATTATGACTTTATATCTCATAATTATGACTTTATATCTCATAATTATTACTTTATATCTCATAATTATGACCTTTTATCTCATAATTTTGACTTTATATCTCATAATTATGACCTTTTATCTCATAATTATGACTTTATATCTCATAATTATGACTTTATATCTCATAATTATGACCTTTTATCTCATAATTATGACTTTATATCTCATAATTATGACTTTATATCTCATAATTATGACTTTATATCTCACAATTATGACTTTATATCTCATAATTATGACCTTTTATCTCATAATTATGACTTTATATCTCATAATTTTGACCTTTTATCTCATAATTATTACTTATTATCTCATAATTTCGATTTTTAATGGGCAAAAAAAAATATCAACAAAGCCAAGTTTTCATTTTTAGTTTATTAACTGGCGGAAATGGGCTTCTATAATAAAAGATATTTACTCATGAGTAAAATAACATTTACCGTGTCAGGTACGATATGTTCTGAGCATAGGTTCTGAGATATCGTCACTTTTTTTTTTTTTTTGGCACGCAGCTACACAGAACCTGATTGGTCGATGCCCCTGAGAGGCTGGTGTTGTGATTGGTTCCTGTTTCATGAGCTCCACCAGTCCCACCTAACACACACACACACACGAGCGGTGAGAGAGAGCGAATCCAACATGGCTGAAGCGGAGGAAAGCGAGCTAACTTCTGGAGGAATTTTCCAGGAGATTTTCACGTCTCCTCTGAACCTGACGCTGCTGAGCCTCTGCTTGTTCCTCCTCTACAAAATCTTCCGCGGGGACAAACAGCCGGACCTCGGCGAGGTGGAGCCACAGCTGCCCAAACTGAAAAAGAGAGATTTTACCCTCGCAGATTTGAGTCCCTACGATGGACTGCAAGATCCGAGGATCCTCATGGGTGTCAACGGGAAAGTGTTCGACGTGACCCGGGGAAAGAAGTTCTACGGACCAGGTACGTGAACGTTACAGAAACTGACCCCCCCCCCCCAATGACGCTGGTACGACCTGTTCCGACGTCATTAAGGCTGCTAGCGTGAAGCAGCCATTCGTGTCAAACATTTACTATCTCTGTTATCATTAAATTAACATTATTAACAAATAGAAGTCGGAATTTGCAGTTTTTTTTAGTTTAGCTGTAACTGGAAGCTTACGCCACACCCCCTCAAGTTTGCAAAGATCCCGTTTCACAACAGAGCAGCGACTGTAGCCTTGACGTCAGAGATCGTGTATATTTGAAGATGACTTACTCCGTAGTAGATACAAACAATGTTTTTATTGGCATACAATTTTGTCAAGCATTACGCTAATATCTGGTTTAGTTAAGCAAAAGTTAAACCAATTCAAAACGT